AATTATCGATTTTTAAAAGATTATGCTGTAATTTATCAGAAAAAATGCTTGAACCATTTCCGATATCATCAGTTATCGTGTGAAGCAGTAGATATCTTGCTCCCGCATATCTCTGCTTCTTCTATCCACTATGAAGCCGCACTAAATGTTCCTCGGAACTATTCCAGAAGTGGTCAATTTTCCAAGTGCCTTCACTCACTTCTGCAGCAACATCACTGTGCTCTATGCTTTCCATAGCGCCGGAAGTAGCGTCGACGGTCACTTCATTTGGAGTATCAGTTTTGACTTCTTCCTCATTTACATCTCCATTTCTGCAATGCATTTTATCATCTTCCGATAAAGCTGCTCCTTACTTTCACCTCCACATTGCACAATTGGACTATATGAGGCTAGTCCAGTTTTCCCTCTACGAAAAAATGCTGAAAGTGCGCTTGCACTTGCATGCACTCAGCGTAGTAGAATATGCATATATCCATTTAAAATCAGTAGTAAACTTGCACTATGTCACGCAGTTGTTTCCGAGTGAGGCTTCAAGACCACTGCTTCCAGTGTCTGGTGATAAACTTTCACACAATAATCTCTATGCACATCTTTTCCTTCTGGTGTTGGCTCTTATAAAGGAAAATAGGATAATCGCTACTAGGGGAGCTGAATATCCGGAGCAGCAACCAATAGCACGCAAGAAGTACATATAGTTTTTCTTTTTTTTTCGCTGCTGGAAAAAAGGAAGAAGACAAATGCCAGGACTACAACACTCTGATTGTCGGTTGATGCAGCTTTAATGGACGAAGTGTTAGCTGCGCTGATGACATCAAAGTACGCTACAACGAAAAAACAGCTCATTAAAGTGAAGCAAATGAACTCACTGGACCGGCTCACCAACTTCTGCCTCAGCCATTCCAGTATCAATACACAGTTGCTCCGAGCCCTTCAAAAGCAAGAATTAACTTTCAGGAGAGCAGCTGAGGAAGAAGCAATTGTTAGGCTTCGAATTTCTTAAATTGCATTAATTACTGCAAAATGTATTATTTTCAGCAAACATTATATGAACTGTGAATTCGGACATAGCCTGACTGAACGAGAAAGCGGGAAGGA